GTGTCTGTGCAAAATTAAAAAATATGAGGAGTAATAATAAGCAATCGCCCATCACCAGCAATTGGCACAGCTGATGGTATAGCTCAGGGGGTAGTCAGACTTCTCCTTGGGGAAATATATGGACTTTTACCGATCACATCTTTCTGGAAGCGCTACTTTCTGGCTGTTACTGAGTTCCCCCTTTTTTAGCACTTTCAGAGTCACTGACGCAGGACAAGGACACAGTTTAGGAAAGCCAGAACTACCAATCAGTATCCAGAGAGCTCCTCACACATAGCCCAATGTTGCCCAACACAGCCCAAAAATGTCCAATACTGTCCAATGAAGCCCAATGATGCCCAATACAGCCCAAAGAAGCCAAACGATGCCCAATACAGCCCAAAGAAGCCCAATGATGCCCAACACAGCCCAACTCTGCCCAATACAGCCCAATAATGCCCAACACAGCCAAAAAAATGCCCAATACAGCCCATTGAAGCCCAACGATGCCCAAAGTCACTGCTACATTCTCTCCTTGGCCGAACACAGCCCAACTCTGCCCAATACAGCCCAATAATGCCCAACACAGCCAAAAAAATGCCCAATACAGCCCATTGAAGCCCAACGATGCCCAATACAGCCCAAAGAAGCCCAATGATGCCCAACACAGCCCAAAAAAGCCCAATGATATCGAACGTTGCCCAACAGAGCCCAATGAAGTCCTATGCTGCCCAACACAGTCCAATGAAGCCCAACAATGCCCAACACTGCCCAACAATGCCCAACACTATCCACTGAAGCTCACCGATGCCCACAATGCACAACGCAGCCCTATAAAGCCCAACAATGCCCAGCGCTGCCCATTGAAGCCCAATGATGCCCAACATAGCCCAATGAAGCCCAACAGTGCACAGCACAACCCACTGAAGCTCAGTGCTGCCCACACTGCCCAACAATGCCCAACGCAGCCTTATAAAGCCCAACAATGCCCAGCGCTGCCCAATGAAGCCCAATGATGCCCAACAGTGCACAGCACAACCCACTGAAGCTCAGCGCTGCCCACAATGCCCAACACAGCCCTATAAAGCCCAACAATGCCCAAAGCTGCCCAAGGATGATGGTATGAAAGTGTACTTCATCAAAATACAAATAAGAAATAACAAAGTATCCTTCAGTCGGAAAAAAAAAGACATTCAAAGAGAACTGAGGATCAAATTCAGCTGTGACAATGTTCATCAAAGAAATGCAACAATTATTTATTCGATAATCGCAACATTGTCTCAGCTGAAGATCTGATCCGCAGTTTATATGTCGTTGTCTTCCACTGAATGATACTTTGTTTTTTATATTATTTGTTTTTTACACACAGCGGGTCGGGTTTGAGAGGAGTTTTTATTTAACACTTCCAAGCCAGAGCAGCTGCACCTACCAATGGATATTTATTTATAAATAGAACAAAATATCTTCTCTCTATTTGTTTTTTGTTTTTTTCCCCTTTAATGAAAACAATGTCGTCTTCCCGAAATTTACATGTTTCCCAGACACGTTTGTGGTTCGGAGTTTGAGCTCGGCGTTTCGTATCGGTGACTTCTTCTGAGTTTTTCTTTTTTTCTATTAATAGCCGTGCGGTTGCCAAGATGATACCATTAAGGTAGATGGGTTCAGAATAATAAATCTGGGGAAATAATGGAAGCGGTGACCTTGGCTTGGCTCTGGAGCTTCTCTACGATTGGAGAGCTCTAAACTAATATACACATTATCATCCTTCCGCTGCGGCTGCAAAACTGGATAAGAACCCCACGAGAAGGATGAATGGCCCAAATGGTGGCGAATCAATCAGAGGAGCGAATGTAATGAAAATGGCAAATGCAGCACAAGGGTGTGTTTACACATAGGATACCCATATCTAATGGGGCCTATAGAAAATCAATACGGAGCTCCCCAAAAGCCCAATTTTCATCTTGAAGTGAAACTAGTGTGCGAGTATAATACTCACAGAAATCACAGTATCCCCCCGACTATGCAATTAAAGTGCAACTCCATCTATAATAATGATAACAATATGCAAATTTCCTCCAATTTTCTTCTACTAGACCTTGAATCATCTTGGTATTAAAGTCCTCAGTTTAGTTATATATGTATATAATATATTAGAGGTGCACCGAAATGAAAATTGCAAAACCGAAATAAAATAAAAAAATTGTCAGGCCGAAACCGAAAATGTTTTTTATTTTAACTTTTTCCAATTTTTTCAATATTTTATTTATTTTTTTTATAAACTTTTACATTTTTTTTATATTTATTTTTATTTGTTTATTTTTTAATAAATATTTTTATTTTTTACTTTACTTTTAGGGGCTTCGGGGGGAAATATTGGGGGTCTAAACATACCCCTGATGTTTCCCTTTTAAAATAGAAAAAGAAATTGAGGACAAAGAATCCTCAATTTCTTTTTCTGTAGCCCCTGTTATCAATAAACAGGAATCCTCTATACTGAGTGTTCCTGTTCATTCATAACATGAGGACAGAGTGTGTTTACTATAACCACAATCATGAATGAACAGGAAGTGATGTAGATCACTTCCCATTCATTCATAATTGAGGATATAGTAACCACACCATGTCCTCAATTATCTATAAACACTCAGCGATCACTGATCACCGACTGCTTGTACCCGCTCTCCATCCTGACACGCTGTCACAGGAGGCTGAGCGAGCGGTGGGGGAGGAGAGCTCCGCCTCCTGTGACAGCGCAGGCTGTCTCCGCCCACACACCGCTCCGCCGGTCTGGGACAGGAGGCTGAGCGGCGCGGGGAGGAGAGACGCCGGCCGCTCACGGCGATCTCCTCCCGCAGCGCTCGATCATCTGTCACAGTTTCTCTCCTCCCCGCTGGGACATCGAGCAGCGGAGAGGAAAGAAACCAGGGATGCGCAGATGTATCGGCAGGAAAATGGCACTTTCTGCATTATTCCAAAAGTGAAACAGTTTCCAGACACATGAGATGGGCTGTAGAGAGCACTGCTATGTACAAAGATCCTTCCTCCCATTATTCAGACAGCTGATCCGGTGTGTCTCCTCAAACTTCGCACTGCGACACACAGAAAGTCTGACAGACAATTTCTAGAAGATGATCAGAGGTATAGACAGGGTCAGCTGGAGAGTCAAACCAGGTCACAGGTACCTCTCAGGGTCTTAGGACTGTGCCCATTATGGGGGGATCCCACCTTCTTTCCGTTGAGTTCCTGGGCTTGTACACCCGCTGTGCCCATTATGAGGGGCTCCCACCATCCCTGTGCTGAGTTCCCGGGTCTGTACACCCGCTGTGCCCATTATGAGGGGTTCCCACCATCCCTGTGCTGAGTTCCCGGGTCTGTACACCTGCTGTGCCCATTATGAGAATGGTCGATCACCAAAAGACATAAGACGGCACTGGACTTAACCAGGCAAAGGTTTCCCTTTACTTCCTGTCCTAAAGACACAACAGGAAGTGTGAGGAAATCTCTTCAAAGCAAGGCAAATCCACTCTTATAACAGGTGTCCCCAATGAAAGATTGATGTTCAGGTCCTATCCTGGTGACACCTGTAAGTGCAGCATTTCCAATCACTGACAATGGTCACCGGGACACATAGAGGGGTAAATCCCAGAGCTGTCATAACCCCAGCTGTTACATAAAAGGTTAGGTAGGGAGATGAAGGGAGGAGCAGAGTTGCTGGGCCAGCACAGATAGTATTGAAACCCTCCCAGAAAAGGAGAGGGCTGTGCTTTGCAAGCAGGGAGGAGCAGGCTGTGCTTCCTGGAGTAGTCAAAGTTTCTAGTTAGGTCTAAGGCAAGTGAATATAAATAATTGATGGAAAGGTAAATCTCTGCAAGTCAGTATTTATAATACTTGGTTTTTTTTTCTGTGCATTTATCTGCAATTCTCTAAGCTGGTGACACCGTCTCTTTAATTATGTTACATACCAGGGACTGTGTCTTAAGGGACTTGTCCACGTTCAGCGGCTCTTCTATTAGGGAAGCCCCCACGTGTCAAATATTTGTCTTTTCTTAAATGGGAACATCCACCCACCACCCCCCACCCCCCAGCTAAGCGCCCATTACACGTATGACTACAAACAGCTGCTCCGTTCCATGAAAAGACCCGACCGCTGTCAGCTGAGAGTGTGAAGAGAGTCCCGGAGGAGACGTCCACTTTTATCCAACCGGGAGTGATGACTCTATTAGGCCCCAAATACAGTACGCAGTCATCTGCCAGTCGGGCCCCTCTGACTCTTTATTTATGATATATTCCCCCAGGAACACGTTCCAGCCAGCTCAGAGGATCGCTTTAAACAAAATAAGGCTGCAAACATTCCATAAATGCACAGAATATAACCGGAGATTAAAGAGGAATGAAACTAAACTCTTCATAAACAATCTCTGTGAGCGTTCGTTCTGTAGAGGCAAAAGAGAACATTCTCAGTATATTTTCAGCATATTTTCTTTTCGGGTCGAATATAACGCTTGGAAAATAACGCATTATGGACACTAGATGGAGCTGAGGAGCATAGGAATAAGTACTTCTTTCCTATATGTCCTATGCTCCTCAGCTCCATCTAGTGGCCATAATGAGGTATTTTCCAAGTGTTGTATGCAATCATCTCTCTCATCTCCTTTCTTTCTTTCTTTCTTTCTTTCTTTCTTTCTTTCTTTCTTTCTTTCTTTCTTTCTTTCTTTCTTTCTCCCCTCTCCTTCTCTCTCCT